AGGAATTTGTCCTCTAAACTTTATTGATTTGTTATCTATTCTAAATATACAAAGTCTTATATTAGATATCTTTTAATTTAAGATTTTTATGATTAATTTTTATTAAAATAAATTAATTTATGATTTATTTTTTATAAATAAAATATTGCTAAAATTTTCTTTGATGGTTTTTCTTATTATCACATATTCTTTAATAAACTTTTATTGGTGTAAGGCTTTAAAAGCATTAATGCTTTTATTTTGTCTATTAAATATTATTTTGTGCTAGTTATGATTACTATATGTAAAATAATACTCTTAGTCATTAAAATTTTAATAAGTTTTACAAAAAATTATAGTAATTTAATAAATCAACATAGTAAAATTAATTAAATACACATTATTTTAATATTTTGAAAATAATTAAATAAAATGTATTATTTTGTACATATATTGAATTAATAATTAAATAATACATGTAGGAATTACTCAATATTTATACACAAATTCTAAACAAATTTCAATATTTTTATCAATAAAATGTATATAAGTAAAATGATTCATTATTAATAAAAATAATCATATGACATTAAAAATTTGTAAAATAAATCTTAATAATGATCTTGTGTAGTTTTATATTACTAAATTTATAAGAATTATTTTTAAAGAAAAGATAAAATTATAGTATTTTCTTTTTAAAATACTATAGAAACCTACTTGATGCATGTTGGATCAAAAAGTGCCTTAAGATTTTCCATATGGTTCTAAAAGCTATGTAAAGAAGTTTTTTGGACCTAATAAGCTACAATGTCAGTGTCTAACAACTTATATATATATATATATATATATATATATATATCTCACAAGCCTTGTGGTTTTAAATCTGCAGATTATTTTTTTTAAAAAGGAGTACATGCAAAATTTAAACTGAAGCCAATTTAAACCATGTTAACACTTCTCTTTGTTTTTTTTTTTTTTTTTTTTTTTTTTATTTCAATAGATTTTTTTTTAATTAATAAAACTTAAAAGCAAAAAAACAATTCTTATTATTTAGAAATATTTATATATTGATTTTTGATTTTTTCATTGTTTGTGTATTAAATGCCTTTTTAAAATATTAAATATTTTATATTCTTATTAGTAATTTAAATGCTGAAAATTTATAAGATTTAATAAATAACTTTATATATATATATATAAAATTGTAAATGCCACATATCTAATTTATCACTACATCTTACATGACCTCCTTATAGACAACTAGCTTAAAACATGCCTCTTTCTTTTAGGCATTTTCCCCCTTTCTTTGCTTTAAAAAAAGAATGTATTTGAGAGGGAAGCAATGAATGTTTTATAAAAAAAAATGGGTTGTAAGTTATTTTTTTAAATAAAATATTATTTTCCACAAAAAAAAATTCATTCAAAAATATTTTATTATTTGTTTATTTGGTTGCTAAAAACATAAAAAAAACTTATTTTTTGATTTATTCTATTTTTAGGTCACTATTAGAATTAATTATTGAGCTATGAAATACATCCTAAGTATAGAAGCACACTTTTTAATTGATTTAAGTTGCATTGAGGTTATATAAGATATAGAAATATCAATTAGAGATGTAGTGTGAATATATATATATATATATATATATATATATTGAGAGAGAGAGAGAGAGAGAGAGAGAGATATAAATTACAATAGCCCAAATAGAAATATAAAGTATCTATTTGTAATAATAAAAAATTTAAGAAGAATTTTTATCTTAGTATATATAATATCCTGTTTTTTTATAATGTTATTACCTAGGTAGAGTTTTAAATTATTATATAATTTCTATATTGCAATGCTAGTGGGGCTTGAGAATTTATAAATTTAGAATAAAATTAAAAAATTAAAATAAATATTACTATATGTTATCGATTTAAAAAAATTAAAACTTTCATATCTTCTTAATTTTAATGACATTTTAATTTTATCTTTAGTTTGGTATAATTTAAATGTAAATTATAATAAAATTATTATAATTTTAAATCAAACTTTAAAAACTTTGTAAGATTTAAGCTTCAAAAACATATTATATATATATATATATATATATATATATATATATATATATATATATATATATATATATATATATATATAGTGTATGATTATTTATATTATAATTATAATTTTATTCTTTTTATATCTTAAATTATGTTAATTTTGCAATTTATGACTATAAATTAAAAGTTATAATTAATCAATAATAACAATCGAGACTAAAGTTGTCTGAGGATTTATAAAAATTTAACTAGTTGTTTTTTCAATGGAATTTAATTGCATTGTTTTCTGAAGAAATTATTGATTTTTTAAAAATAGTTATGAATAACTCAATTTTCGAATGTAAAATTTTTATTTTATTTTATATTTTAGTAAACGAAATTTTAATCAATGACTTTAATTAAATTTTCTGTAAAATAATTGTAAAATATTTTCATGTTAGTTTAAATCCACATATTTTTTTATATTTAAATATTTAAACATTGCTACTTATGAAACACAACAGAATTTGAATGTATTCATTACAATAAACATTAATTCTTTAATAGTATGATATATATATATATATATATATATATATATATATATATATTCTTTTATGTAAATAATGTATTTGTGAACCTTTTTTAAACCTTGTATTTGATGTTAAATTTTGAAAACTATAATGTTGTTGTTCAAAGGGTTTTGAAAAAAATCTCAGTAGAGGTGCATCAGTTTAAGCAAAATGACTTTAATTTATAAATAAGTTCAAAACTAAGACCTCAAGAGTTATCAATTTTCGACATTATTTTTGGATTTGATTTCTTCAGTATGTGTTTAGTAATGAATTAAACTAAACAACATCTTATTTCTTTGATTTTTGAATTTACCACAAAACTACTTCAAAGTCAAACATATTTATAAAGAAAAAATGTCTTAAGTATAATTTTTGACACAACCAATATGTTTAATTAGTTTTTTAAAACGCATATTCACATCTGATTTTTCCAAAGCATCATTTTGAATGAAAGCATTGCTGCGATGTAAGCTAGTTACACATTAAAAATAAGTTGTGCTTGTGCTCGTTTAGATTTAGCCACAAATAAGAGTATATTGCTATCAACAAATTATATTTTTAATATGTGTTATAAAACATTATCAAGAACCATCTTTTTAATTGTAAAAAGAAAGTGTATTTTAAACACCATCCAAAGCATAAACACACAAGGGCACACACACACACACACACGTATATATTTTTATATATATATATAATATTTTTTTGATTATTTCACAAAATTAAGTAGTAGTAGTAGTAGTAATAATAATACACATTCACAGACAAGGTAAGATAGCCACATGGATTAATAAGAGTACCCAGAGAATGAACCATTCCGACTCAAACACACTTCTCCAAGGACACTAGGATTCTGAATATTGTTCAAAATATTAAAGTTCATTCCCAAATTGATTCTTGCCCTTCTAGAAGATAGTTTAGAAGCATGCAGCTAGCTATCTGAAACGTGAGGCCCACTATGGTCCACGTCTGCACGACTTCATCCCGCATTCGACGGATGGAAACGAAGACTTGTCATCCATCCTCCTCATCCTCCCCCCGAATTCCCCCTAGTGTCAACGGAGTTCGTGTCAAATTTACAGCCGCTCGGATGGTGCCTGCCATTCCAGCAGACTTGGAAAAGAAGTTTTCCTGTCACTTAGCGTGTGGGGGAGGGGGGGGGGGGGGGGGCGGGGGGGTCCCCCCAGGGACGCCCAATGCCCCAAAAGGGTGGGGGGGTATTCCCCGGCCCAAGTTGGGAAGACCCCCTTTTTGGGGGGCGGCCTTGTTCACCAACTGTCATGTTTCATCATTCCCCAGCTTAGGGGAGCCCAAAAAACTATATCCTTGAACAGAGGTCGGGTACCTTTTTCACACTCCGATGTAACCAACCCTGTCAAAACTTTTGGCTGAGGTTTCGAGGTGAAATAAGACTTTCGCAGGTGCTCTGTTGAGGTTTCATCCTGGAACCATAGGTTGTGGTATCAACTTTTGACTCGAAAGATTGCTTGGTCTGGGATCTGAAATCGCGTTGTTTCTTCGCAACTGTGAACGACTGATGTTGTCTTTATTGGAAATCGCTCTGGGAAGCTCTGTCATCACATGGGCGACTGTTAGCTTCGTGAATACAAAGCTTCCATCAGCACTTCCGATGAACTATGTCATGTTCTTTGGACACGTTAGCTTTTTACAGACTCTGGAAGCGTGCTTGTTTGACCTGTAGGTCCAGATGTGAATTGAAAATTGTTGTCGACATGTAGGACCGAGGCATTGAGCAAGAAATGCATCCCTTGGAAGCAGCATTCAGCCTGCCGATCTTCAAGTTTCGTTTGTCACTGATATAGTGACCTCTTTCAAATGGTTTGTTTACTGAACATAATGCTTCTCCAATTCACTAAAATTTCAGTCGTACGGTACCTGTTTAATAGACAAATCTAACTTGCCATTGGCTTGTTCGACCTAATGGACTGCAAAATACTTTCGCAAAGGCTTTTGTGACCAGCCTTGAAGGTTAGTTATAGGCTTCGCTGATAGGGAACCGGCTGGACGACCCAGGGTCAAGACTTAGAGAAAATCTTCCAGCTTCACAAAGTCTCATTGCGGTGCGACGCTTTCCATTCTCAAATTTTCATGCCTGCCAGTCCTAGCCGGTAACTCGTAATAAAGATTAAATAACACAGTCCCTTGCAGATCATTTTGTGTGAGTATTGATTGCTCCAGCTCTAAGAGTTTTCAATGTAGGGGAGTTCACAGAACCTCAAATACCATCACCCCTAGTAAGGTTGCACAGATTGGAAAGCTTTATAAGGTTTTATACTTGGAATGTCGGCAGTGAAACTCTGGTCAAGGTATCTAGAAACTATCCTAGTCGAATGCAATTAGTCTTCAAATTATTCCAGGAGTTTCGATGCAGAAGGTGCCGAGATTGAGTGATTCTAAAACTTGTAAAACCATCGTTGAGATGGACGTAAACTTTTTTCATAAATTTTGGCGCTTTGGCACGTAGTAGACACACATCATCCTTGATTGGCCCAGGTCGTCATATGTTCCTACTTTATTGTACATTCCCTGCTTATATAATGTGTATACAACATATAGTGAGTCATGTAACAAGTCCATCGAAATAGGCCATTTCAAACATCATCATCTGAAGAACTTACACTTCCAGAGAAAAATTGCAAGGGTCCATCCCATGGTTGACCTGTAATTTTCTCAAACACGAGTTTACGAGCCTTCTCGATTGTTCTGCAACAAAACACAACCTGCTCGCTAAATTCTTTCATCTGCTGTTCAGAGTTAGTTGCGTTGATTCGTAACTGGTGCACAATCACACACATGCTGCCATAATTCTGCATTGCTTCTTCAAAAAACGATATCCTTCTCTTTGTACAGTCGACATCGTTCCTTAGCCGTGTTACCAACCGTTTGCTTGTCATCAAGTCTTGAATGATAATATAGTTTCCCTTGTCAGCTGCGTCCAACTGAGAACATTGAGCTTCAAGATCACTGTTGCTGAAACGCTCCCTTACAGAGAACCACCAGTTCTTTAGAGTGGACATAGCATCAACCGTGGCATTTGATACGATAATTCCTGCCAATGCAACAGGAACTGCCAAACAGAGCAGGATCGGGCTTCCAGCTGCTAGGATGAGGTATGGCAAGACCTTGCTTAGAGCTCTCTCTTTCCGAAGCTTTAGGCCCAAAGCATGCTTCATCTCTCTGAGCTCTCTTTCCAATTGCTCCGAGCACTCTTGAACATGGCGAAACTGGTCGAGTGTTTCCTGAGTAAACGGATTCTTGGAGTTTGCAAATGTTTTTAATTCTAGTAGTATAGAATTGTGTAGGCTTTGGCTTGGTGTATTCCCTTCTTGCTGTAATTTGTGGACAATCTGCAAAGCCTGGTTAATGCTGCTTTGGCTCTGCCTCGCCTCCTGAATGCTCTTGAGCAACGCCCTATATAGTTCACAGGCTTTTACCGTGCTGTTGAAGAACGTCTCCAACGCATTTCGGACTTCAGGTCGTAACAATCCTCCTGTTCTCAGGAAAAACGTGTTAACAGCGTCTTGGTCTGGACTTAGAAATGCAGCCTCGGGCCTGGAGGAATCATAGCCACTCACTTTGCCCTTGAATAGAGTGAAAGAAACACTAGAGAAAATTTTCTTGAACTCATCTTCAATTGTGAGAGCCAAATCTCTGCTGTTGCGTCTAATCGTTGGCATTACGAGACTCATTTAATGCACCTTCCTCCTCCGGAGCATTAGCGCGGACTTCTCTTCCGAGGAATCTTTCAGAGGTTCAAAAATGTTGCGCTAGTCGTTGATAAATGAGCAGCCTCCTTCAAACTCGAGAAAGGGGTAAATCTGGGAATGACATAAGCAAGCAATGAATGAATAAATAAACGTTGAAGTCAGCATGGGGCTACATAGATAGGTTTACTCGAGGTTTACGAGTATTGAATGAAAAGGTCGCAAACAGGTACTCTCGCAAACGAGGAAGACAATATATGAAATAGCTACAAAACAAATACACGAAATGAGTTTAAGCTGTCGCATGGAGAACACGTGACAAGCCCAATGACGCTGTACACACCATACAACCAACCAAGATGCAGCGGAAATACAGTCGCAAAATGGTGAATTTTTTCAAAACTGGAAACGGCAAGTATGAAGGAGCATTGTCGAGCTTGAGATTGGACAGAGCTAGATAGTTCCAGAATAGATTGCATATACTACCTACCTTGTCCTCTGACAATAAGCGGCACCGTTAATGCTTGAATTACCTCCACTCTACTGAACTGAAAACTAGACGACAAAATCTGATCCAGTATGAGAGCTTACTGGTCGTCAATCACAGCGATTTTCGCTAACATTTCTATCTGCAGCACCTAAATTGATAGTGAGAACGCAACTCTACAGTACTAACTCGGAAGAAGCAGTTGAGGGCGAGGCAGCACTATGCGTCCATATCTAACCAAACATGTATGCAATGTCATATATCAAAGATTCGAATGGGAATCCTAATCTTCCCTGCTCTTCCGAGCCAAATCGCAGCCACCGCGCAAGAAAGCTATGTGTCTTCCGCGACCTGATTCCTTAGTATTCCTCTCTAAACCTCCACTATCTCAAGCCCTTCTTATCCAAAAAGAGACACAACCATAATAAGAACCTCTTTTCAAGCCTCTTCCGGCCCGCATGAGAAAAATAAATAAATAAATAAAACAGAAAAATCAGAAAAATAAAACCTACAGTAAGAGCACTACACCTGACGCAACATTCAGCCTCATCGCAACGCACACAATGCGGGAGCCTGGGCGCTGCACCGCGACGAAAGCAATGGCGAGAGAAAGCCTTCAATCAATGTAACGGACAAGGGCAAGAGTGGACAAATTGACGTAAACACACTCCAGTTCCCAAGGAGTAGAAAGAAGCTCAACGACGAGGCTGGTCGTGGCCGATGAAGCAGACATCGATTCGGCTTCAATCGATCCTTGCTTGCATGGAAGCAAGAATTGCGGGGGGGGGGGGGTGGGGTGAGGAGTAAGCGGCGGCGGCGGCGGCGGGAAAAGCCTGACGAGCCCTTTTAATCGGTGAACTCCGAACGCAGACAGCGGCGGAAGAATTCTAGCTTCGATGTCACGGATTCGCGTTGCTCCTCTTCGAAGCTCTTCCATTTATTCACGTTCAAACCCTTTGGCTTCTTTCTTAATGCTCGTGTCCCATGAAGGTAGCCTTCGCTATTGTGCCATGTGGACAGGGAAAGAGCACGAACGTTGCTCTGAAGCCATTCTGTTGTGGAACCTTTCTTGAAAAGCATAATCAGACAAATTGGCTAGCTCATCTGAAACTTAATTGTGGAACTTAAGGTAGATTCTAATCCTCATCAGCAGCAGCCCGTGCCCATGTGGCAGGATTAAAGCGTGCTGACTAGATTCCTTATGAAATGGGGACATACAGTCATTGAGGGCCATTATTGTGAAACCCTAACTGGGAGGGCAGCATACTTGTAACTTACCCACATGAGCATGAAGAATGCATGAATGTGACTTTACTGCATGGGAATGGACAGTCAATAGGTTGTGGTGGTGACATGGCTGCTCCAGCTTTCCTTTGCCTCCATTCTTGTAGAAACTTGTAACTGGGCTTTTATTAGCTCACCAAATCTAGCTATAGGGTGAATATACATTTTCATATCCATGTTTGTGTATATGTATATGTACATATACATGTACTTACATACGTACATAGTATGAATTTCCATCTGATTTGTCTGATAAGCCATTTGCACACACAAAAAAACTTGAGATATTTTACATAAATATCCTCTTTTGTGGACAAGAAATTCAACCTGTTTTGCACAACAAAATGTCACCTTGACAAAGACCCACCTTATGTAGCTATCATTGCACCCAATTCTGTCAATCAACACTGAACTTTCCATCAACTGCATACCTAATAACACATTCCTTGAGTTATATGTTCAATTGGTAGCACTTGAGACAATTGTAGGTGGGTGAAGAGCAACTTTCCAAGAGAAAGCAAAGAAAGAACAAGAATAATAATTTAAAAAAAAAAACAGATTACTGACACCTTGCTGTGGTAGGCAAATTTGGCTCCTCCTTCCAAGCCTTGGTCATCAGCTAGCAAAGCAGCAACCCCCCCCCCCCCCCCCCAAAGTGTATGTGGCCTCAGCACCAACATATAGTGATCCTTAGATTTGTAGCAAGTCATTATTTTGAGTATAGATAAGGAATGGGGTTGCCTTCTGTGCAGAAAGCTGGATGAGTGCAATGCAAGGCCTGTAGGTGGAGGCCTATGTGGGGAATATATTGCCACAGTGATTTTAAAGGGGACTGAACACTTCTACCATTGACAAAAAAATGTGTCAAAAACAAACAAAACAACACAAAGAAATACTTAAAAAAAAACAAACAAACAAACAAACAAAACAACACAAAGAAATACTTAAAAAACAAAAAAACAAACAAACAAACAAAACAACACAAAGAAATACTTAAAAAAAAAAAAAACAAACAAACAAACAAAACAACACAAAGAAATACTTAAAAACAAACAAACAAAAACAGAAACAAACTGCAGTGTACTTAAACAGCCTTTTCTTGTGAAAAACTATTTTGTGGGCATACTTTAAAAGGTTATTCTTATCCGCATTGCTTCTATATTGGACAGGCAATCAGATTATGTATCTCAAAGTTCAGCAATTATAAAGGTAAAACTCAATGAATCTCTTTCCTCCTATGTGAAGCTGAAACCTAGGAAAATTGCTTGCCATTCACTCCTGACAGCTCATTTCAAGCCATGTAGTGGGACTCATGGGTATTTCCAGAATGGAAATAATTGAGGGGCATTTATCTCGAGTACCACATTATGAGTCAAAATATATCTATCAACTATAAAAGCTCACAGCACATTGATGAAAGAGCTTCACATGTCTATACACAGTAAAAAATGTCAATGCTATGCTGGTGGTGTTGAAGTTCTCACCTGCTAAGCCTGAGTTTCATGAAAGATATGCATGGAATTTGTTCATGCTTGAAGATTTTGAATGATCTATATATATATATATATATATAATCACAAACATACATATTTTTAAATACAAGGAAGAGAACAGTGAGGTACAAATTTAATGATTTGAAGAATACACTTTTACAAGCATCTCAAATCCAGTGGTTAGAAAGTGAGGCGATGATGATGCAGAAGATCACTCAAACTGTAGAGATGACCTGGAGCTCGTTTGCTTCCTCCTCAATTCAGGCTACAGAGGGAAATCAACTAAACTATAACAAAATGGTTTCTTTGAGCGTTGGGTATCTGGAGGCAGTTGGAGGCTGAAGAAATTCGCACCTAATATCCCGGAATATTCGACCCAGGATACGGACACAGCGACTCAATTGTGTCGGAAGGGAGTAAAAGCGGATACGAGGTCTAGAGAATAACTTGCAGGGAGGTTCTAGGCACCTATTTTTCTCACCGGGACGTGATGGCAGAAGTGTTGCAGGTGCCATCAATTGCACTGGACAAGGACTTTTCTCAGGCTGCCGCCTGCCTTAACGCTCTTACCACCCCATCTCCGCCATAGCCATGCCTTGAAGCTAGCTCCAGCTTCAAGTAACGTTTGTCCCTTTCCTTCAGCGGGCTGGGGGAGGAGTAATTGTTAATGGAACTCAATGTGCCGCTCTTTACTTAATCCATGCTGTCTTGTTGTAAACTCCTGCCGCAGGGATACTTTTTCCTCTTCATCGTCTGGCAATAGTGCTTGTGGACCTGCGTGTGTGTGGGTGGTATTGCAGAGCCGCCGATTGGGGTTGGTGTTGGCGTTGGTGTTTCGATAGCTAAGTGCGTTTTTTCTCTGTTTCGAATAGGAGCTTGTTTAGAAACGTAGTCTCCTTTGTCTTCTCCTTTTGTCTTTGCTTTCTATTGGTTATTGATTGATGTGAAATGGTTCCTTTTGTGTGCTACTACATTGTTAGCCCCTCGTACGCGATCGCTCTCTCCTTCTTTGTCGACTGGTTTGTCTGAGAATCCATTTGATGTATTTGAACTCTCAATATGTGTCCAGTCTGCGCAAGTGATCGATGCTTGAATCCGTTGTCGTTGCTGTCAATCCCGTCGGACAACACTGGCGGAGATAAAGGCAAGGACAGCTCTGGGTGCTTACTTCTCATGCACGGTGATGGTCATGCGATAACAGTGCCATCGTTCAGCTACGTAAGTTTTGATTGAATGTTGTAGTATAGGGGGAAGTGCGGGACGTAAGCTTCTTATATGAAATATCGGTCTCATACACTATTCGTCCAAGGTCGATAAGAAGACGCCGTGAAGGCCGTGATCCTGCCATGGGTAACTCATCTAGCCGAAGTTCTGGGAAGAAAATTAAAAAAAGCGTCGCCGTTACTAGCAGAACAAGCTCCTCGACCGACCCTCTACCCCAAATTAATCTAGAGGATTACGAGGCTGCTTGCAAATCCGATCCAGACGTCAAAAGATTTGATGACAAGCTCCACACGCGTACACAGGAAGCTCTCTCGAGTCTTGCAGAGGGGGTGGAGATGCCAGGACAGGGAGTTTCTTTTAAGTCTCTGAAAGACGTTACCAAAAGCTTGCTTGAAGTTGACAACGAGGTTGTGCACGTTATTCTTGAGTACAAGGAAGATGTGTGGGCCAATAAGGAGTTGATGGATTTGGTGACGGAGTATCTTAACACCAGTCTTGAAGCGTTGGATTTTTGTGGTGTTCTAGAGAAATGTGTGCAGCAGACGCGCGACAACCTAGAGCTTCACCTTCAGGTACCTGAAACGCTCAAACCCTCAAAGATGTGTCAAGCAACGCATCATGAGTCCTGGTCCCCTAACCTAATTGTTTGTTTGTTTGGTCTTTCAAATTTGGAATTCAAAGATTCTGAGATTCAGTACGAGGACGTCACCAGGGGACCAGCATTGTCTCCTGTCTAGATGTTATTACGAGGTTTTACAACACTGAGCAACCGTGAGTTCTGTACGATGAATGCACATCGGGTTCGTCCTGCTGTGAAGAAAGGTGTCGTGATCAAGTTCGGTTGCATTTTCATTGAATTGAGTGGTGACATTGATCTGTTGCCAATTGCAATGCAGGTTGCCATCAACCACATGCCCGCGGAAGGCGAACCGACTCAGGATCAATGCGACACTGTCTTGAAAGAGTTGCAGGGTTTCGTGCGCGCTGCGAATCCATTCTCCGAAGATTTTAGTAAGCAGTTCGTAACCGTATATCAACGTCACTTGGAAATGCAGAATAAACTACAAGCGAAGAAGAGGAAATTAGATAGCAAAATGAGAAGCGTGCGAGGGTGGATGAAAGTGTCGAACATCATTCTAGGAGCCACTTGTGCAGCTGTGTTGCTCTGCCGTGTCATAGCTGATGCTATTGCTGCACCAAAAGTTGCAGTAGATCTCGCCGAAGAGAGTAGAAAACCAGGGAGAGGGATGGGAAGCTGGCTAAAGCCACTGTGTAGACGATATGAGCAAATCAGAGCTCAGGCAGCGATTATTGAAGATGCTTCCAAAGGAACTTTCGTGGCCATTCAGGACTTGAACAACATCAAAGCTTCAGTGGAGCGACTAAAGGTCTCATTGGTTTAACTCTTTGAAATTCTCAATTGATCATGCTCTGCAAGGGACTCGAGAGTTCTGAAAGTTATATCTGTGACGAGCTAAAGAAGGATTCTTCAGTGATTAAGCCTCAAATTGCTGACTCTCTTTCTTCCGATTGTACCATTGCTTTGCAGAATGACACTTCCGCAATAACGCGAAACATTCGATTTGGGGAGGATCGAAGGCATGACCCATACTCGCTGCAAGTGGCCGTGGAGGCAATCAGGAGGAAGCAATCAGCATTCATAGATCAGTTGGAGGACCTCAGAGAAACGGTAAATCAATCTCGTGGTCGCATCAACAAGGCTAGGACTGTAGTGCTAGTGAGGATTTTAGAAAACCGTGACATTATTTTCAGGCAAGGAATCTAATCCTCTGAAAACGTTGCTCTCGTCATATTTAATTGGTTTGTGCTATTGAATATCTTCATCAATTCTTGCACTTCAATGTTGAGACCGACGGTAAATTATTCCTTATCCATGTGAACGATGCATCCAAGAAGGTATGGTAATGAATTGATCTAATGTCTCATTGAGTCAACCTCGCGGAGCACTTTCTTTTTGCACCATCGTGTCGGAAGCTGGCGTGTCTGCAGTAAGTTTTCTTCTAGAAAGCTGAAGCCTAAATTTGAGTTTCAAGCAAATCCATGACAGAAAGTTGCACTCGTAAAGCTCTCATGGCTTCTTTGTCCCAGGAACATTCTTCGTGAGCGATGGCTGTCATTCAGAGGCACGAGGGAGAATGCTAGTGAATGTCATGGTCTTCAAAGATCTGCTCATCTTTCAAACGCATTCCATTTCAACCTCAATTCTACAGGTCAATAGGACACTCTAAATAGAGGCGACCAAACGTAGGGCGTAGGTCTCTCGATAGACACGAAAAATTCATGCATGAACTATATTTGAACAATGGTTTTTCAAAATCTCGGAACAATGTCAACACAACTCAAGTCACACAACGGTGAGAATTGTGGCCCAAAAACCCTTTCACAACATATCCCATGCTTGACTTTGACTTAGACTTCTCAACTGCTTCAGCTCCACCACAGCAGTCTTTTTGATACCTTTTTGGTTGACGGTTTTGGACGCTTCACACACCACTCACGTCCGAATTTCGAACGACGTCCGTCCAAACCCAGGAACGTTCGCCCATGGAATCCACCCCAAGCACCATGTTCACTCACCTTCGTTGGACGGGCATTCATCCATCCATCATGTCCGCAGACACGCACTCGTGGTTCTCGCTATCCGAAGCAAAGGGGAAAAGGCGCTTATTCAAAACCTTCGGAAGCTTTACCATCTATCTGGCAGAGAGAGAGAGTCCTAAGGAACCTTCGCCGATCGACGCTCTCCTCCCGGGACGTTGTGATGTAGGAGGATTCCTCACTCTGCTCTTCGTCTCGGGCTCGTGGTTTCGTTTACGGTGTGATTTATTTTGCATATGTTTTTTGTTTCTTGATTTTTTCATCCCATGCTTAGAATTTTTTCCAGGGGTTCTGATACTTGTGAGGGTTAGGAGCGGTGTCTAAAATCGAAGGATAGTCGACGGCACATTTGTATGTGCGTTATTCGGGGTGTGGTTTTTGTTTTTATTTTTATTGTTTATATTCCATTTGATGATGTCTATGGGTTTGTTTGTCTTATGTTGGGGTTTGGTAATGCGGAGTGATTCGGATGTGGAGTGACAAGGGTTACTGGGAGATTTCAATTGCACATGGGACTGGATTTGAAGAAATGTTTCGATTTTTGTGGTTGTTAGATTAGCTCTGGGTGACCTGGAATCAGGCGGAGGATGTCGTAGATCGTTCATTGTTTTCCTCTCTAGTTGTGTTTATTCATTTGTTTGACTGTATGCGCGACTAATGGTTGCGGGTATTCATCGACATTGATTTTTTACAGATAGGTATCAATTTGATTGTCTTTGAAATGGCGTTTCGACTTTATCTGTTTGGTGCCGCTTCGTTCCTCTCACTGTAATTTTCCTCCTGATGGGTAACGGTGATGTAAAGAGTTGACAATGGAGGTTGCTCTGGTTGCGTTTGATGGGAAACTCTATTCGAATGACTTCCTAAATTTGTGGTTATGCCATTCTCAGGATTGATCTCGTTAAATTGGACTGCACAAGACAGGCTAGAATCCAAGTCGGTTGCATTTTGGCGGTAGGGTGTTTGTATCAAGAGTTTGCGATGGTTCCAGCAGCGCGACACCATTTGGGGAAAGGACCAGTTTCTCCTCAATAACGAGGAACATCTGCAAGACTAAACTTGTGCAATCATCTCACCCTTTCTGAAGGGCGGTGTGTCGTTCAAAGCTCTCTTCTCAATTTTGACATTTGACCCCATGTGAAAGTTCACAGGGTAAAACACATGCAGAGCAACGGGATGGAACCTGAATCTAGGTTAGGTCGAATGATGGATATGTCTCCTATAGGGTCGGGATTACGAGGGCAGCCTGTTTCTGGTGGAGCAATGCTTGGTGTCGGGCCTTCCTTGGAGAATCCGTTGCCGCAACCCATGTATACTCGGGGATCTGGGCAGGTCAATACTTGATCAACGCTGTCTTCCTTATATTTGTCAATTTACGCCATGTCAGGAGGTTGTAACATGTCGATGTTTGTTGGACATGTCCTTCGAATAGAAATAATATTGATTACATGACATATTTTCTGTTCGTTGCCCAATTACTGGCTAGTAGTTGTACTACATCTTCAATTGCGAGCTTTTGGGCCGATATTTTGACCAATCTACTGGCTATAGATGATAAAACTGAGTAATTTTCCTGAATGTTGATTAACGAAAAGTAAGTCGCTGCTGCGTTGTTCTTACGTAGAGTTTCTTCTTCTTCAACTTTCCCGTCAAGTTTTGTCTTGTCAGAGGTGTTTCTACGGCTTCGTCTACAATGTTGTGTACGACAATAAATTCGTATTGAATTTTGTACTACACGCACTGACAGTCAACATAATCTGATTTTGTTATGTGAATCGGTGGGGGTTTTTAAAACCCTTTTCTTATAAGAAGTAAATTGTGTTAGTGACTCGCTATATTTGGTGAACAATGGTTAGGTGATGACAGAGGAGCAGCTCGAAACATTACGACGACAGATTTCAGTGTATGCAACGATCTGTCAGCAGCTTGTTGAAATGCACAAAGCGAGTGTTTCCCAGCAAGCATCCCTTCCGGGTCCGTCAAAGACCTCTCTTCGCACTCTCCATTTATTTTATTTTATTTTTTGTAAGAGGGGCCCTGGTTCGCCTATCTTAGTAAGTAATACACGTCTTTTCAGGTATTATTGTTCCTCTGGGAAATGTCCTGTGTTTCGCCAAATACTTGATAGCTTTGTAAACCAATCGCATAGAGACGGTATCCTGTGGTTGTTAAATCTGTGATCAAGAACATCTACGCTAGTGTAAATTGGGAATTTTTATGTCAAAAAGTCTCATTTTAACGAAATTGGAGATGGTTTTGTAAAATCCTGTTTTAATGCTGTGTTATCAATGTATCACAGGTATTTTAGCAGGTGGTCAGATCGTATCTATGGATCAGATGACTGGAACACCTACTCATAAGTCGACAGCAAGGCAGCGATGGACCCCTAGTCAGCATCAGCTACAAATACTGGAAAAGTTGTTTGAGCAAGGCAGTGGTACGCCCAACAAAGTGCGCATCAAAGAGATTACTGCTGAGCTCAGTCAGCATGGTGCTATCTCGGAGACCAACGTGTACAACTGGTTCCAAAACCGGAAGGCTCGAGCCAAAAGAAAACAGCAACTGGTAATAAGTTTTTCTCGATCCTATTACCTTTGTTGTGTTACTTTCTCAATCGTTAGATAATGCCAGGTGGCCCTCTTGAAGTTGGACTCATATCCTCTGACGTAAGTTTTCTATTTAGACAATCTAAACTGTGTCATATCAATTCTTCTTACTCGGACCATATTTGCAGGTTACCCCGAAGGATGGTGAATCTGAAGCTGATTCAGATGGGGAGTCGCCGAAGGAAAAACGTACAAGACAGAAAGGTGATCAAAACCAAGATGAATCAGTAGGTATCGGAGATCCACATGGTGGAGGAAGTTTTGATGGAGCCGGTAATGGGGTCCCTGAGCAAAAAGCTGTTAATTCTGACCAACAAGATGCCACATCATCTGCACTGCTGCATCCACAAGCAGATACTAAACCTGATATATCATCATTTAACAGGGGTGCTGGGTTTGATCCTTATAATATGCCTCAAGGTAATTACATTTCCCTGTTTTGAAGTTGTAAGAGATGTGACCTCTTTCTGCTTGAATGCTTTTCTAGTGAGCTCAAGTTTATGATACTTTCTAGAACCTCAACAATGTGGTGCACTAAAATTTTTAATTTTTTTTTGACAGTGGAAACTATCTCAAACTCTAAAATGTAACAATCGTCATATTTTTGGTGAAATGTAGTACGGGGAGAGATTGTGAATGTGGGTTGTTCCTGTGGAGATTTTGTTGCTGCATGTACTATGCTAATATTATTCACGGTTTGAATTGTTCTTGGTCAGGCATTCCTCCCATGATGAGTTGAGTGGCATGCTGCTGGTCTTGTAACTTCGGTATTAATGGTGAGCTCCTCGCTCATCACCAGAAACGTTCTATTCCTTTTTCTGTCCACTGGTTCTCGCTAGCACTTAGTTATTCTGACACTTGTAGCTATTTCAGTTGAAACAGTATATCAGATACCTACTTAATCTCCTGTTTAATGTGTAGTGATTTTCAATATTGTGAATGTCCCTCTTGATCTTTTACGAATAATGCAGCGTTTCTGATGGGCTTGTCAAGTTTGGGGCCAATGCGACTAATGCAATGTGTTCTCATTGTATAGGTTGGCAAGGGACTACATAAGTCTGAGAATCTACAAGACATGGAGTCTGGCTAGAAGTGTGTTTCGCTTTGCATGGCCTCTGATGTGGTGTGCTCTCAAGGGCATTGAGCCACCCGCGGATAAAGCAGTAGACTTTCCATTGCAGCAGTTGTGCTGCTCCCTTGGGTGTATTAGATAGTAGTTATTTATGAATTCATCGTGTGGTTTTGAAGCACATCGGTCTATGGAATACACACGTGACTGCCTGTGAAGGGTTGGTCAAATTACAAGACTTTGTGGCACCATGGACATTGCTGTCATTTGCTTGCTATTGGACACAGATGCATCTGCTTCCGAGTATGCACCGAGCAGTCCTATTGAGATTTTCCATTCTATTATTGATATAAATCTTCATTTGTACTTGAAAAAACGTATTATTTGCCTTCTACTTCTAAATTGAAAATAAATAGTAGTATTTATTGATTTTCCACAAGTATAGACAATTGTGTATTAGCATTATACTAATACTTTGTATTAGTATCACAATCATGTTATTTTCACATATGTTTTTTTATGTATAACAATACAATTAAAAATAATAATAACAATAATAATTAACATACGTACAGTGTGACTACTCTTAATCCGTCGGAATCTGTATGGGCAAATCTCTAGACTGCATCAGAGACGATCCATGAGCTCCAAACAGAAAAATTAACAAGTCTCATAGATTGATAGAGCTTCTCCTTCTTCGAAAAGTTATGAAAACAAAAATCCAATCTGAACTTTTTTTCGAGCATTGGTGTAAGTCAAAGTTGTAAGGGAGCAGCATTTTTTGAGATTTGGCTGGTGAAAACACATAGCTATGCAGAATGTCCGCAGGGCATAGATCGTAGTGGGTCTTGTCTCATGAGAATTACACAACAATGTCACTGCCCAACAAGAGCAAACATCATCTCTAGAAGGTCCTAAAAGAACAAATGCTAGTGCAAGATCTTCACAGCATCAATGATTTGCTTCACAATGAAGATGACATGGACACAAATGTTGTGGACTTCTTCATTGGCCATTTGAATGTAGTTTTGGAGGAAGAAGGATTTCTATTTGATCTCATGAACCTATAGTTGGAATTAATTGATTCAAAATAGAAACTATTGCTTGATTAGAATGATGATGCAAGCAATGCATTACATACTCCTTATTCTAGTACAAGCATGGCTTCTATGTATAGAAAGTAATTGACAAAAGACAAGTACTCTAACATGCATGTCAAAATCACATCATACTTTGCTTCAACAAATAATATTGCCTCAAAAGACATTGGTAGAACAAACAAGTTCTCATACACCAACAAGTGATCAAAATAGCAATTAATATCTTGCATGATATAAATCTAATGAGCAATAATTAGCACAACATGCAACTTAATTTGTCCACTAGTCCTTTTGATAAGCTTTGACTTATTGCTATTAAAAGATTCTTGAAGCAAAAATTGGCATATGGTTGGCTATGTTTAAGAAGATTGTTGAAATCATGTTTAGAAAAGCAAGTACTACTTACCACTCTTGAGCAATTTGTGATTGAGCCAATCACTTTATTGTCAATTTAGAATTATCTAAGTTACGGCAAAAAAAATAGAATCTTTGATTGATGATGAGGACGTGAGGTATTCATGCCGCATATTTCTTTGGAGTATTGCAAAAAACCTTTGTGATTCAATGTCTTTCATGTAGTGGATGAACTCAAATTATAAAAAAAATGTAATATTAAACATCCAGTTACAATTTCCAAGTCAATAGCTAGTAAATAGTTGTTCAGATTGAATTATAGCTATAGAAGCTACCATCAAGGTAGTGCATATATTGAATGTCATGAATGCTATGGCATTGTTAAGTGTTAAAAAGAATTTTTTAATCAAATAAAAATTTGGTAATAATAGATGGAGAGATACTATGGTGCTAAGTTGACTGAAGTCATCTTGCAAAATAATCCTACAAATTCAGAATTAGTATTGATCACACATGATGAATCAACCTTTGTTGCTTATGATGGAAAGTGTTTAATTTGGCAAGACAAAGAGAAAAAAACTCTAAAGCCTAAAGGAGAAGAGGCATGTATAATGATTTTGACCTTCTTGTGTCTATATCATGATCTAATATAATATGGTGAGGATGCAACTACAAACAATATCATTATTCTAAATGCAAGAAAAGACAAAGATGGTTATTTCTACAATGAGGATCATTGATTCTAAGTTGCAACAACTTAGATGTTAATACTTGATTGCGTGCACCCTCAATGCCAAGCTCTTATCACATTTGAAAATTCAGTCACTCACCACACAATGGTTGCCAATGCACTTGTAGCAAGTAGGCTCAATTTGAAGAATGGAGGTAAGAACACACACCTACATGTGATGGTTGATTTTTTTGCAATTACATTTGTAACAATGAAGTAATACAAGGCTGTGGCATTCAAAAAGAAATCTGCACTATCCTCTATACATAGTCTTTGGATTTATAGGATGATTCTAAAAACTTGCAATTGAGCTTTTTGCTTTGCAAGCAGACTTTCTTGAGTAAAAGCCACTACTTAGGAAAATTATATAGGGAATGAATCATCTAATTGCATTTTATTCTAAATTTCATTACAATTTATTGAGGCATGTATAAGTCACATACCCACAAGCATTGCAATTACTTCTAAGTAGGAATTCAATGGATTGTTTCTTTGGCTTTGAAGTTAGTCTGTTTGGCAATGATCTAGCAATTTATGCACAAATCAAAGTAGTACATTGATGCATGTTGTAAAAAAGATGGATGCTTTCTTACAACCTTGCAAGTCAAGTATGCTATAAAAAAACATGTCACATCATAGGATCTTTGCATTAGTTATGCAAGAATTATAATTATAAAAAATAAAATAAAATAAAATAAAATCTAAATTTAGACTACTCTTGGATTAAGACTAGTCACATTGTATATATATAAATTTATTATAAGTTCTTCTATTAAATAGATTTTTTTTAAACTGTGTTTTGTTTATATATATATCAATAAGAAATAGTTTTGAACAAAATGTAGATTTAAATATAAAAAAAATTTAGTTTATTAAATTCTGTTTGATTTAAAAGAAAAAATTGAATGATTCTTTGTTGTAATTTTTTTCTAATTTTTTTTTATTAAAATTTAAAATATACAATTATTTTTTTAAAAAAGAAAGTTTTTTTTTTTTTTTTTTTTTTTTTTAATTAGCTTTAAAAAGAAAGTTCAAATTAGTTTCCAATATATATATTCAGAAAGATGCTATAAATTCTAATAGCTTTATAGAAAATAATAATATTTGTATTATTATAGTTAAGATACATTATTAACAAAAAAATTAAAAATAAAAACTCAAATATGTTAATTGATTTTAGATATGTATATGAATATATGTAATAAAACAAGCTTTTCTTATTTTTTTTAAAAATAATAGATTTAAAACAATACATGAATTATTAATACCAAAGTAATATTGAATTCTACAATTTAAAAATCACCAATTTGATTTGGTATATGTACAAGCTTTTGTTGCTTATATCAAATATGTCATGATTTTATTTTTTTTCATATTAAGATTAAAAGATTAAAAATTATTTATTATAAATTCAGAGATAGAAATAAATTATATATTAAGAATTATTTATGTAATTATGTACTATTTTAAGTATATATTATTTAAATATTTAGGCTTTTCTTTTACTTTTTTTTTAAGTTTCTTATCCCAAAAAACCATAAAATATTGATAATTGGTATAAAATAACATAATATAAATAAATTACAATCTATCTTACAGTAAAATTAATATGTTTTTTGAGACACTTGAATACTCAGTTTAGCTGAATTTGTAACCCTGAGTTGCATTTCTTTTCCCTTTCTTCTCTCTTTTTTTCTTTTCTTCATATTACACTTAATTTTGGATGTGTCATGACTAATCGTATCACAATGATTTATATTTTTTATCTTTTTTTTTCATTTTTTAGTCATAACACTGCTTGATGTTTCGATTTTTATGGTAAACAGCATATTCTTCGTCGGAGCAGTTCATCACAACCAGTGGATATCAATCATTCAAAATTTAAAAATTCAACTCTTTGTTGTAAGTTCAACCCATGGTCTTCCTTCCTGCCATTATAATACATAATTTGAATAGACATAAATTTAAGTCATCACTAATGTCCAGTCTCACAGCCAACATCAGAGACAATTCTGCACCTTAACAATGGCAGACATCCTTCGTTGCAAGCAGTACAGCAATGAAGCCACAAACAAACAAGAGTTTAAAAGCCCGTCTCGATAACTTACATTATATACAAAAGAATGTCCCAAATGATAGCGGGATGGGGTAACAACCCAAGCTGCAGGACTCGATAAACTACACTAAACATGAGTGAAACGAATCCATTTAACAGGGAAAACATGCCACGGCTAATAGACTAATGCTTTCTTTCCACTGAGGGGCTCCTTACAATCAAGGTAACCCAACCAATGTTCTTCCCACCGTGTGATATGCTTCACAACCATCAGCACCCCTGCATGCAGAAACATAACACATTGTTACCTCTCCCTTGTCAACGCAATTGGAAGAATGGTGGCCATCATTCTAGGGTCAAGCACTTTTTTCCAGCAGGGAACAGTGGGGTCTCTCAGGATTGTTTGAACATACGAGTCTAGTTGTTCTGGAAACAAGTCAAGAGAATGCTCTCGGTATCAAAAGAGAATCAAGACTGGAATGGAAGGCGAGATTCAAAACTCAATCAAAACTGAAGTTCACCGAGTGAATCAGCAGCTCTGATGCAAATTAGCAACAGAAACGCTAACAAAGAACCTGAGCAAGTTACTGTACCTGTCAATAAATTCCATAGCTGTAAGGCTCCTAGTAGTCCGAAATTATTATCTTTGCCAGGCGGAAGTTAAACACCACTAACGTCGACAGCTTCAATCACGTGATGTTTTTATGCACTGCATGGCTGAATTTTCATGGAGCAAAATGTCTGAGATCCTTGTCAACCCATTCAACGTTTTTGCATACCTGGTTAGGTGGGTCTCATCCAAGCTTCATCTCCGTTCTATTCGTATTGGTAGCGACGGGGGAGATAGCGCAATCTAAATCATGGAGCTTCAACTGGGCGGCCAAGGATTGCAGTGAGTTCAGAATAGTAGGGGCTCTCTCGCTGATCTCGCTTTCCATCCGTGACATCCTTGTACTCGGCCATAAGCTTGTCCCACTTCTCTCTGCATTGCTTACCATCCCGCTTGATTCCTTGCACCAAGAGCCGCTCCGCAAGCCCGTCCCAGAGAGCTGCACGGCGGGTGGAATGCGCAAACCGGCTGTCCATCTCCCCGCGCAGTTTGATGAACTGGAGAACTTCAGTCCGTTTCCAGTTCTTAGAGCGGCGCTTGGGGACGCCCAAGGGGCCTTCAGGGCTGTTTACTGCTGGAGGGAGAGGTGGGGGGATCTCCGTCTGAGGGGCAGCGGTGGCAGTGGACGCCATCGCCAAGCTTGCACCCATCTGCTCACCCACAAGCTTCTGAGTAAGAACAATCATTGCGTTGTTGAACACCCCCCGGTGAGCTCGTTCCTCAGCCCGCCATTTGTCTTCCTTCTCCTGCCGCATCTGCTCCCGCATCTGTTCTTTCCGCTCCATAGCGTCCAAAAGCTCCCGGAAAAAAATTTGCTGCCGGGTGATGACGGTCTCGAGCACTCTCTGAACAGATTCAATGTCTGTGACTGTCACGAACTTGGGCTCGGGCCGTCTCTTCTTCCGAGCAGACTCGTCGCCGGCTGCTTCGTCATGATCCTCTTCGTGCGTTTCGCTAGTCTTCGGAAGAGATTCCACTTTGTCCTGCTCTATCACAGTGACGGTGTCTTGGGTTGAAGACTTCGGAGGTTCCTGGACTGGCAGATCGTCGCGCTCCTTCTCTCGGTCCCGCTTCATGGACTTCCCGGAGAGAAGAGAATGGAGCTCGTCGTAGAAAGGATTATCTTCCTTGTCCTTTATCCCATCTCGCACTTCCTTGTACCCAGCGGTCAGCTTCTCCCATTTGTCTCGGCACTGCTGTGCGTCGCGGGTGAAATTCTTCTTGTGCAAGGCTTCCGCAATCTCGTCCCAGAGCTCGGTCTTGCGACCGCTCTTGGAAAATCTCGGTTCAAGCTGTGTGCGGAGGCGAATCAACTGAAGCGACTCTGGCCGCGTCCAATTCTTGCTCCTCTTCTTGTGATTCTCCCGTAGCTTCTTGTCCTCTTCGTCTGCGCCCTCACCCATGGCGCCCGAATTACTTCCATTTTCTAGGTTCTTCGCGGACGAGGCCTGCAAAGTGGACATGGATTGGTGGAAGGCGACCAAAGGGGAGGAAATTCGCGAGTGCGGGGAGTCTAAAGAATGGCTCAGCGACACGACCGAGGCTGACTTGTCAATGATGTAACGCCTCCCTGGCGACGCTGTCACTGGTTTGTCTTTGTGTTTAGGGGCAACTAGCTGCTTCTCGCTCGACGACGAAGGAAGAGGCATTTGATGGTCGATCGAGAACACGTGAGGCTCTACCACGTCGGATGCTTTCCTATCCGTGTGTTCTGATGCTCGAGATGAGGCGGGAAGCATTGATAATCCTTTCGCAGTCCGGCTGTGCGTCGAGATCGACGATGTCTGAGAGCTGTACAGGCTATTCCCTCAGCAGAACAAATTTCAAATACCAATCTTGGCACTCATCTCCTCTAAATATATTCGTTCTTCCTCGGGGATTTAATAGCGAACTTGCTTATAGTTCCTCCCTGCTTTAGAAGCAGCTTCCACTTCTGCAGTTTCTATGTGGGGTGTCTTGAACTCAAAAACCGATTTCTTCATAAAGCCCATATTCAACTCTCCGCAGAAAATCAACTGCGGCGACAATATTCTCTGGCTGGGCGCATTTCAGCAGCTGTTTCCACTCTTTACCTTTCTTTTAGCACTCTCACAACAGCAAGCAATGTCTCAATGTCTCGCAACAATTCACACAATCCTATCATTCTTGAACCCTCAAGATCAATCACAGCCCAAGGCTTGAGCGAAATCTGAAAACGCTAATTATAAAAATAGTAGTCTACTTACGACACGACACACGGCTCAGAGATCCCAATTTTCACATCGTAAAAACGGTTTAAAAGCCTGGGAACAATCTGTTCAGGCAAATCATCAATACTAAATTATTCTGTGCAATCCAGCACGTTCATGCCACCAGTTAGCAAGGGGAGACAGAGGAGGCGATTACTAAATCAAACCACGACGCAGTAATCACCACAAACTGGGAACGGGAGGAAGAGAAAGTTTGTCTACGGCTAAATATAGGGAAGAGAGAGAGAGAACATCCAGGGCGGGAAAGCGAGTACCAGAATTCAATTCTCCATACGCGGGGTAATCGACAAAGTTCAGCCTCGGTGTTTACACGCAAGTGGTCGAACTTCACCAACACGAACAGCCCCGGCGTATAGGGCCAGAAAGAGGAGCATAGGAAGAAATATGGATACCAAAGAAGTTTTGAAAAAAAACTTCCCTCCTCTTTCAACCAAATCCCCACTTAACCAACAAATCTCCCAGCTCGGCCAGTGATGCCCAAAATCTCTTCACATCGACAAAATTGCACTTCCACTAGGGAAAAATTATTCTCCTCCTCCACGACGACACTCGGGCAATACTCGATACGCACCACTTTCTCTCCAAGAAACCCGCCCGGCGTTCTGTACACAACACCTCCTCGAGCATCCCCAAATTGTCTCCCCACCCTACCCCCCTCGAAACCGAACCCAAACCAGAGCCACCAACCACAGCTACTACCCCCCGACGCACTCAGACCATCCAAGTATCCAACTCCTTGGCTTTCAACACACCACACACATCGCCGCACATGCTGCTCACCCGCAAGTGCACTCTCATCATCCTCCACTCAGGCGTCGAACGTGCACGAAAAGGCGACCACCAGCTCTCAAGCAACCCTTAGCACGAATGAGACCAAAAGAGGTGAAAGAGAAGCGGGACCCAGTGAGAGGGAGGGCGGGGCAGGGGTGAGACGAAGGGAGGGAGATGTAAAGGACGCGCCCAGGAGGGTGAGGAGGGTAGAGAGCGAGAGGGAGAGGGAGAAGGGAGAGCTTAAGGCTTGGAACGCACTATGCGAGGCACGGCGACACAAAGCGAAGACAGGCAAAGCGAGGCGCAGCGGAGGCCAAGGGCAGCGCGCGACGCGAGCAGACACTACCACAAGCCTGGTGAACACGCGGCACCAGTGTCCCAACACCACCACCACCCCTGTGGTGGGTCGAAAACCCTGCGCGTTGCGACCTACCTCCCCCCCAACGGTCCAGTCGGTAAGGTCAAACACCGCCCGGTCGCACGGCCGCGCGACGCCTCCGTCACCGCGGAGCTCGGGGCGGTCGGAAGGGAACGTTGATGAGAACATATGTTCCCCAAGTTCTCTATCTGCCGTGCTTGCTGATTCCCCACCACAGCCTGCTTCTGTTCCCAATCCCTCCGACTCATCTTCGGGAACTGGTCCTTTTCATCCATGTGTGGATTTGATTGTGAACATGGTCGAATATATCATCCTGCTTTCATCCATGTTTGATGCTCCTTGCCTAAATTAGCTGAAATGGGGTCTTATCACAAATTGCTATTACAAAGTTAATGGGTGTTATTAATGGCACACTCTGGCAATTATCGGCTTGTGCTACTTAAACTAACTTAGGGTTCCTTTCCCCCTGTTTCATTTGGAACTGGAGTCTATGCTTGGTACATCAGGTTGTGGGAGCACACTTGTTTGATCACATTTACAACCCAGAATAGTGATTGGCGATTACTGTTTTGGCTTTTGAGGGTTGAATTCAAGATTCATTGATTGGGGTGTCCAAAGTTTGTTCAAAACTGAAGATCTAAAAGTAGGTTCCATTGGAGTGAACCCAAACCTCAAACCAACTTTACATTCTTCGACAACGTTTCTGTTCCTTCCATAGTGGTATCATTCATTCATCCATCCATTCATTCAGAAACACACACACAGGTATTTATGTATGTATGTATGTATGTATGTATGTGTTTGTTTGTTTGTTTGATTGTTTGTTTCTTTTTTCTTTTTTTAGTTGCCATTTTGGTAGTTTTTGAGTGTCCTATGCAAAAATACAAGTGCAATGAAAACCCTACTTTGACCTTTAACAGAGAAATTGCAATTTTGGACATGAACATTTACTTCCGCATTCTCTTACTTGGACTTGTTCCCATTATTTTCCTCCTCACAGTCCTCTCCAAGTCTCAACTTTTTCCTTTTCTTTCTTTAAATAAATATATAAACAATAATAAAATTAACAATATAATGTTTACATTATCACCAATTGATTCCAGGTAGTATACAAGTTTGACAAGACAAGTGGCACCAATGCGAGTAAACAACCGACTCGAATGTCAATGCGAGTTTTAGAATATCACACATTCACACAATTAAAAATTACAGGAAAAGAAGAAAAAAAGAGAAAGAAATATTTCCAGTATTCAATATCCTCATGAAAACATTATTTTTCCAGTCATTGGTTCTTTGGCTTTTTTAAGTTTATTATTTTATTTTCATTGTCAAATTTATTTATTTATTTGTATTCTCTTGTTGTGGAGTGTTTTATTGGAGAACAAGGAAGAATTCTATGTTCAGGGATCTTTTTTGGGGGGAGGTCGTGGTGATGGATGGTAAGTAGGTGGCAGGTTTGCTTGCTTGATGTACTTAGGGCAAACAAAGACATGCCAATGGTATGATACAAGCTCCACTCCTGGAGCCACTTTGCCTTTGCCTTTGCCCTTTGTGTTGCCTCCTTTGCCTTGGGATACTTCAATTGCCAGCTACTTTGGGACTGTTCCCAAAAGACCTTTTGGGCAAGAGCCTCATGTGTTGTTTTCACCATCATCCTCCTACACACCCAAGTTGGCTTCACCTCTAAAATCATAGACTCTCTCTCTTTCTTTCATATATATATATATATATATATATATAATACATTTACATGTGCACACTCACACACACAAAGATATTGGTCACACCAAAGACAATTTCCATCCCTGCCTCCCTCCTCCCATGTGGCTGCTCTAGGCTCCATTCACAAAAAGAAGAAAAAAGGTTGACAAGATGATGACTATTATCTAATTTGCAGTTATGATTTATTTGATTTATTTGATGTAAAAGGTGAATACTATTATTTGTGAGTGAAACTTTATCTATATATATATATATATATATATATATTGGTGTTGGATCATGTAGTTTGGTGCTTATTGGAGAGTGAAAACTCATTCTTTTCCACTCGTAGATGGTTAGTTATAAGAAAAGCGTTCAAAGGGTTTTGGAAACTGGTAAAATTTTAATTAAAAAAAATGTATTACATAGCAACTTTGCTTATACAGAATTATTCTATTAACAAGAATTAAACTAATGTATTTGTGATTTTACAATATATATATATATATATATATATATATAATTTGATTACATCTTTCTTTACAATTTATTTTGAATAAGGTTTTATTTCTAATTATATATTATTTTTAAAAGAGAAAATTTCACGGGTTCAAAATTTTACATTTATCTCACAATTTATTTAATATGTGAAATTTCCAAAATATAATTTTAATTTTTAAATACGTTTTGGAATGTAAATAATAATTATAGGTTTTATGTCATGAGATTTTTTTGACTATATTAGATTAATTATCACATCAAAATTTTATATTTAAATATAGTTTAAAATATATTATAATAAAATTAATATCTCATTTAAATACAAGGGTACTCTAAAATAATATAATTTTTGATATATCTAATAATTGTAATAATTTATATATCTATTTAGTTCAAATAAGTATTGCTTAAAAATTATAAGGCTAAAAGCAAACTTATGAGACATAATCTATTGGTTTTTGAAAATGAGATTAGAAGATTGGACAATAGATAAAATTTCAATTCTAAATAATAATCAATTATCATAGTGATTACTTAGATAAAGATAGTAAAGCTTGATTAAGTGTATTAAAAATACAAATGAAAGTTATCTTTTTCAATATATATATTTCTTTCTTACATAGGTATTATTAGATAAGATAATTATGAAAAAAAATATTTGTATATCAATGTGGGTATTATGTTGTTTGTTAACTTTGTACAATGTTTCTATTTTTTAATTTTTTAATTTTTAATTTTTTAATTTTTAATTTTAAATGATGTAAATTATAGTGCATAAAGGACATACTCATGCTGTATTTTTGAAATAATAACTTTTGATAAAGTTTAATTTTTATGTTTCTTTATTTAATATAGAATAAAAATAACTACATGTCGACTTCTGAAAGATTGATTAATCAGTAGCAGGTTCAATACACTTATAGTATAACAATAACATGTAATGTAATTTTAGATTTTAAAATTCTATTTATATCTTGGAATTTTTCATCACCAATCTATTTTATTTTTGATTATACATATATATATATATATATATATATATATATAATGCTATTGTAGACCAAAATTTTACACATGTTGTAAGTCAAACAATTTTTTTAAATCATCAAAAACTTATAATAGAAAAATAGAAATACACTTGTTTAAAGATTATAAATGTTTATACATCCATACATACATACATACACACATATAAAATTTTAATTTCATAATAATTTATTTAGAAATAGAAATTTAACAAAATAATGGAAAATCAACACTTAAATAAATATTAATTATATAATAGGAATTTTAATTAAGTATGTAAAATACAATAATTTTTTTACTGATATTTGCTACAAACTCTAATCTATGCTTTGCACAAAAGTTTTTGATAGATCATTAGTAGTTATCTATAAAATTCCATACTTGAGCAAGAAAATCATCTAATCATTTGATCTTTATCAAGGCCTTCATGATTATCTTCAAATCTCACATTTAGAATGCTATCAAATATAATATCTACTTCCAATAGTATCACCAAGCATGAAAAATCCCTTCAAAAGTTATTGTATTACATAGTGTATTTTATTATCTATGTGAAAATGAGTATTTCTTCCTTGAAGATCTTCATTTTGATTTCGATACAATAAAGTCTAAGACGGTCTTAATGTTTTCTTTAATAATCACAATTCTTGAGATACATCCTCTAACTGTTGGTTCTCTATCTTGCTAATTTAAAACTTGTAAAACATTTCTAAGTTGATATAGAAAAATTTTGATTTTTGAACTTACTTCTTCATATTTTATAGCAGTTTATTATCAATATATAGTTCTTGGTTTAGATAGATACTATCAATGAAAAATAATAATAAACTATTTCTTGTACATTAGTAAAATTCTTTGGTAGCTTCCATATGTGCTTACCAATACAATATTTATACCAATATACAAGATATTATAATTTTATATATTTTTTTCTATTTACTTATACAAATAAATATATATTACACTAATTTACTAAGACAATGTATTTTCAAATATTAATTATAATCTTTAAATTTTATTTTTTTCAAAAAATTATATATATATATATATATATATATATATAACATGATCACAACCATAATAAGTTTTTTAGAAGCCATTTTACTATGCTTTAAAATAAAATTAACCATTGTTAATATTATAATTTAAAATGATTGATGTGTATATTTATTTTTAATTTTTTTTTTTTTAAATAAAGAATCTTAATAATTTTTGCTATTGCTACCACAATTTTCCTTCCACCTCACACCATCATAATTTTTGGTTTTGCCACCAAAACCCACCACCTATTCAATATATATTTTTTAATTATTTTTTATTTCAATACTTTTTTTAAATAATTCTGGTATATATATATATATATATATATAGCCCAAGAGGTATATATATACACACTTGAAAAATTACACACTAATCTTCCAAGAAATGATGCTAAAGACTCTTCCAAAATAATCAATTCAAACAGTGAAGTTACATGTAACAAATGGCAGCCCTTTCTTATTGGATCATCAAATGAGATTTATAATAATGTCTCTATTTTTACAATATTTATTTTTCACCCACAAAATTTTTAATAATATGGTCATGGTTTTATTATGATTGAATACAAGTTTTTAAAAAATCTGCTAAAAAGTATTCAATTAATGTTGATTATATGTACCATCAACAATATAAAACATGTTTATTTGGGAAGCTGGTTACCAGTTAATTTGTTTCCAAATGTAAGGATAAAAACCTTAAAAATATTCACTTAAATAAATAAAAATAAAATAAAACATTTAAATGGTTTTATTCTGTTGAATTTGCTGCAAGCAGAAGCTCCAGCAGCTTACTATAAAAAAATAATAATTTGTAAACCACTTGTTACTAGTTTTTTTTTTTTTTTTTTTTTTTTTTTTTAAATTATAGTGGCTATTATTGTGTTTTTTTGAGCTCAATAAATATAATAAGTAAATTATATGTATATATATATATATATATATATATAAACAATAAAGTTATATTTCCTTTGCTAGCTATAAGTTTTGTAAATAGTAACTAATTATTTGCTTTAAAGTATATCATTGTTTAATTTTTGTAATATCAAAAATTATCTATCTTAGAAAATCATGCATTTTGAATTCAAGAAGTCAATAATTTACTATAAAAGTTAATAAAAAATATTGAAATATTTGTCTTTTGCTTCTCGTAATTATATATATATATACATATACATATATACATATACATATATACATATATAAACACATTTTCACACACACACACACACACACATATATATATATATATATATATATATGTATACAAAATTTATCTTCTTTAGTTAATATCCCTTAATTAATATTCTTTGCTTTGATAATCTTTGCTAGAATATTGGTTATTCTTAGGTTGTAAACTTATATTCCTTAACTAATATGCTTCTTATAACTCATAATTGTTTTGTCTATCAGTGATAAATTAAATGGGGTGCATTTCTATATATACATACATGAAAATTTCAGATCTTAATAGTTTATAAATTTTAATTAAAAAACAAACTCTTATTTTACGTATTTATTGTAAATACCATTCAAACACACATCACAATCATCAGAATATCTATTTTTTAACAAAAGAGAGAGAAAACCAAGTATTCAATGTAATTATGGTAAATATTGTTTGATTGTCTAAATTCCAGTTTTAATTTTTAAATCCATTAACGATGTGTGTGGTTTTTTTTTTTTTTTTTTTTTTTTTTTTTTTTAAATTATGAAGTTAAATTACAAGCAGAAAGTTTTCAATTTCTAAAGCATATATGTAGTTTGTGCTCCAAAAATAAACAAATTCACATCTCACCATTTGAAAAGTACTACATGTTTTTAAGTTTGTATATTATAATTTCAAGAATGCAACTAAAAAATTGTGTATATATATATGTATATGTATATATATATATATATGTATATATATTTATTATGTACAACATCTGTTTTTATGAGTTTTAATGAATGATTTCAGTTTACAAAGTAGAGAATAATCTATGTTTTATTATTACTTTAAATTAAATTAAAAACTTAAATCAATTAGAATTGATGTAAAATATGTAATTCGATTTGAAACAACTGTACTTCACAAGTCAAGGAGTATTTTAATTTCATTATTAAAATTAGTGCAACAAATATCATTATGTATTAGATAATTATTATGTTTGAATTTTTATATGATATTCCTGAAATTCACACGCACACACATATATATAGTATTTGTGAAAAAATAATTATGATAAAGATATAAAATAAAAACAATTTTAGTACAAAAGCCTACAATTTAACATATATATATATATATATATATATAGCTAATGAATAATTACTATGTTATAGGAAAACATTATATAATTTTTTTTAGATAGTTTGAATTGGAAATTTATCAATAATTATTTTGCGATTTAAATTTTATTCTTTTTGCAATTAAAATTTCAATATTAATAATGAGTATATTTTTCTGGTAGAATATTTAAAAATAAATGAATCTTAAATCTTAACTATAGTTAATAGTATTAGGTATATTTAAATTCGTGGAATAAGAATTTATCATAATTTATAAGGTGGGCTTGGAATTTGTCCCTTAAGAAATTTTCATTGTCAAGGAATTCATTGTGATGGGAGTTCTGGTGCCTTGGGGACTAACTGTTGGTAGGAGATGACCTCTCACTGCGTGATCTGGATTCAGACACTGCTGCCCTAATAAATTGTGCCATGCAAGTAGATTGGCTTGCTGACGTGGCTTTTCCTGCATTTCATGACTCCATGAAGAATAAGAAGCATCGGGAAGCTCTTCTGTTGCACATGATGGAGTCCATGAGAATTATCAGAACTTCGTGGTGGATTATTATTTACTAACCTGACAAAACATGCGATGTGGTGGTAAGGATATTCTTGACTTGGCCACCAGATTTTAAAACGACCATCAATATTGCTAGTTAAGATTGAGAGAAAAAACTCACCTAAGTTCACTTTGATACAACTGAAGGCGATTTACAGGTGCTCAAATCACTATCAGCTGCTGCACTGGCTCTAAAGCTGTGCCAGTGGGACCAGACCTGTGAATGGACCATTGCAGAGATGCACAAACTTCCCCAGCTTTGAAAGTGATGCTTTATAGATGATGGATTTATTGGAAAATTAAATGAAATTGCAGCATATACTGAAATCTGTAATTAGTGCATGAAAAATCTGAAGTATACTGTTTCTGTTCAGAGCGGAGCATTCACGGGGGATGTCTGTTTCTGTCATTTGTTTCTAATAAGATGCAATGATGAAACCACTAGCTTGGGTACTGGAATGGACTCGGAAACGATGAGGTTCTAAGTAACACATACGCACAAGCCTTGTAAGTAATTTTGACCAAAGACCAGACCGGACCAGACAAGGCCCCCATCGCTTACGGCAAAGAGCTGGGTGTTTTCGGCACCAGAAAAAACCATGATTAGTAGAACACGTGTGTGACTCATTATCACTTCAACACATGAACCCTGTCAAGATTATGAAAAGAACCTCCCTAACCACATAAAATCAACGCAGCCAAGCATCCATTAGTGTTGGTGATATAAAGCAAGGTTTTGTATTCAGGTGGCTTGCAACCCCAGCTAACTCAATGAAGCAGAATGGGGGAACAAATGAATAGCCAAAAAAAAGAAAAAAAAAAAAAAAAAAGAAAAAAAAAAAACGAGACCTTCTCACATGCTTTCGCCCACTTGCAAGTCTTCGTCAAACTCATGTCCAACATAAGCTTCCGACAGTGTACTTGAAGAGTTATTGTACATTTTGAAGAGAACAAATGAGGTACACGAAGGAGCGCCAGGTATGTCAACTATTGTCAATCATCCCAATTCTCCCACAAGCATCTTGCTATACATGCTTCTGGAATCCAACCTCAAGGTTTCAGAGCTCCACATAGTTCCAAGTCCGAGCATATCCTCAGCAAAAGAATGCAACACTGAAAAGGTGCTTGAAAGTCGAGAAAATTTTCCACAAGTCTGGGTAATGCTCAAATCAACAGCTCAGGCGAGGTTGACATACAAGTCCACAGCTGCTGGAAGTGGGCAAATCCGAATACGTCAACACTCCAGTCTCAAACGCTTTGAACCTAGAGCACCTTCCTCAGAATACATGTCTGGTATTACACTCTTCATTCCTCCACTCCAAGACAGCCATTTCTTCAAACCCACCGTGCCCTAGGCCAACGTGTTGGTGGGGTAGATATCACAGTATATCACTCCAAGGTATGTCCTGGGATAGCAATTACCTTTGATCATTGCCCTAGTCAACATGTTGAACAAGTGAGCCATTATAAAGCTAAATGTGTATGCCATTCGATGTGAACAAAGTTTGCACACCCCAATGTGGTTCTCATTCAAGTGCTAGCATCGGAGATGCATGCGAATAAGAAGCTGCTCACAATACTTGCCCACCTAGAGACCACCATGTCAGAGTCCAATGATCTTTTTCAGGACGTAAATTATGAGCATGGCTGCACACAGAACAATGAGCACCAATATACATGTCACCATGCCTCCTCTTTTCTGAGTCTCCTCTGCCTGCGATCATCCAATAAGCCAGGTCATTTATCGGTTTTACATTATAAAAACTTCTGCAGCATGTCCAAATTTCAAAACAATGCTAAACTGCCTTAAAGTCCACTTGAGGAGATAAAAAGCATCGAGGTTCCCACCTTGACAAGTTCTTTCACCCCCTGCTCCACGGAGGCAGCAACATTGGTGATGTTGTAATCTATACGATCGACTATTGTTCCCTGTTGATATCGAGAACGTGATACAGAGCCAGTGAGAAAAAGAAAGAAAGAAAGAAAGAAAGAAAGAAAGAAAGAAAAGGGAGTGATATTGGAATGATGATGTTTCAAAGTTGCAACATGCGCAAAAGGAAAAAGCTAGAAAGGAACAAAATTAGCTATGATTCTCGTGCTTAAGCCTCACACCTGGTCAATGACGAGAACTGAAAGGTCCTTCATGATTTGTGCTAAGTCATTAACAGACTCCACAATCTGAATGGACATCAACAAGACATGAATGTCAGGCGCACTTCTTTAATTCAAAGAGTGCATTCACCATACCACAACTGCCTTTATTCGTAAAATTAGAAAGGGTGTTCACTAAGAAATCCATTAAAGAAAGGATCCCAACAGAAACTTCCCTATAAGCACGTGCCTTATCTTAAACACAAATGAATAAGTGTCACACTGAACCATTATGAAGCAGTCATTTCCAAGAGACTAAGTTACCTGACTAATTTCCTTCTCTCGTTCAATGGACAAAGCTTCATTTTGTCTAAGTTGTTGAAGATGTTGATTCGACAAACTCTGTAAACAGAGCGTGGAAAAATGAGAAATCACATCATAGCTTATAAAGACACATTGCTCCAAATTCAGGCTCAGATTCATAGCTCAAACATTAATCAGACCAACTTCTCTAAAAATATTACTACAAGACCTACGAAATAAGTCTAGACCACCTAGAAGCTCGAGTCCGAGGATATTTACACAAAGTGCCCAAAGCAAGTCATGCTCGTACGCTTCTGGGTAACACTAATACAAAGAACTCAGTTTCACATTTGGCTATTTCAGACAGATCTTTGGTGATCCAATGAACGTGCCACTAATGTGTTCTACTTTGACCTCATCACAAAAACAGACTAAAAGCAAGATCATTGCGTCAAATTGCATCACATCGCTAATACACAAATGAATTTTATATTGGTAAGGACCTGAGAGAAGTCATCATCTTCGCTCAATTTTGGCTGCTTTCTCAATCCAATCCCATCGTCGACGGCCTGTCCCTGATTGATTCGGCACAAATTGAAAACCCAATCAAACACAGACATGCTCCACGTAGAAGGATTGCAAGTGTATACGATCTCATACCATGTGAAGGAGTATCTCCAGGCAAATCTCTCTATTATGTTATTTTATGCAATGTTACGCCACTGTTTAAAAAGGATAGATTCCAACGACTGTGTCCAAGAATAAATCAAAGAGACAGATGATTGAGAGATTGGAAGGACAAGAAAAGCACCTCTTGCTGCCGTTGCAATCTGTTCAAATAACCTTTCTGTTGCTTCCGAAAATCCATGGACAAGGTTTGCAAATCCGTTGCTAATGATCTCTGAATGAACAAGGAAGAAAACGGGAAGAAAGTAATGAAATGACCAACTGCAATAACAAATTTTGAAGGTTCGATGTGATACATGGCATCACTCTTTCCCCTAACGGAGTTTTAGAAGCAATTCTGCCTTCGTTTGTAATTATGCCTACGGATATTTTCCTGCGGCTTTCATCATCGACAACATAGGAGCAGGCTGTCTATATTAGACACCAAGCACCTGAACTTGATCACCAACTCACCAACCTCTGGTTAAAAGGTAACGAGCCTGATAGATTAAATAACTACATACATATACTTATAACAATCGCTGATGCGCAAGGCTACAAACTTACTTGTACATTCTTGCGAATACTAGCATCTTGTTCACTCGGGCCCGAGGGTCGTGAAAGCTGCTGGAGCTTCTGCTCGCACTTCTTTAACAACTTGGTGATTTGCTGGGACAACAACTCAATAGTATGCTCCTCCTTAGAAAAGTCATCAAATGAAGGCATCAAAGCGCGACTATGTGCTTTCGCTAGCTCCGCCATTTTCGACCGTGCCCGTTGCATATCCGCAGAGACTTGGTCTGATATATCGACCCAACCCGGCGGTAGATTCAGTGTTGATGACCCCGCACTACAACCATACAGCCATTTAAAGCAAGTAAGTACACTATAGACCAGCATTCAACCAACGGCCTGCAAGAGAAAAAAATTCTGAAGTATGACTTTTTTTTTAGGTCCACAAGAAAAATATAAAAAATAAAAATAAAAAATACACTTTCAGAGGATTGGAATACGGGTCGAGAGCAAATATCAACTCTTATCCAATAAAGCTTAAATAAAATTCAAGTATTCTAGGCAGGCATCTAAATCGACGGCAATTGACAAGAAGATGTATGATAGAATTGTTTCGTTTACTGAATCAAGCTTTCCATCACGACTTGTTAAGAACGTGTTTATGCATACATATACACCAAACGAGAGAGAGAGAGAGGATTCCCGAATCCAACTACGACGTAGAAAAACATCAAGACTACTTAACTCGCCATGGACCTGGAGAATGATCGAAAACGATTCCCAAACCCTAATCCATTAAATCATTTGTTGAGTGTTATCGTTCTGACTGGATGAAAGGAAGATATCCAGATCTCCACCAAAACATTTCATACGAAAATACCCTCAATTTTCACGATAGAGCTTGTGTACCAGTCGCGTATCACTACGTAAATTTAAAACTGTACTCAAGCTGACCGCGCTTCAGTCCAGTCATCGTTATGCTTGGAAGGCTGAACAATACACAGGCCATGAAACCGTAGCATTCGTGATATATTTTTTCTGCAAATTCAAAGCAAAATATTGCAGCTCTTCTCTTCGTGCCTTAGCTGTCAATTAAGTAAAAGATCACAATATTTTCACTGTCAACTTAACCACCTTGCTGACCCAGTGACACTAGAAATTCCTCAAATCTAATTCACTCCTTCACACAATAACACAAACCTTTCTAACTTGATGAACATGAACATACTCTGCTACGAGCGGGTCTACATCGCGCATGCAAATAAACCAAAATCGAAGAATGAACCCCGGGTACCCAACCTCAAGATCGTTGACATGAACATCCCTCCACTTCTCTCAACGGGTACAAAGATCTAACCCTACTATAGAGACCATATCATCTAACTGTAATTTCCAACTACTCGTAGGGTTTCAGAACCACAGAAGACGACCAAGAGTACACACCTGAGGCGATCGGCATCAAGGTCTTCCCCAACAACGGCATTGTAACCCCGGGGCCCGCCTTTGAGCAAGGGCGCTTCCACAAGCTCGATCGCCCCGCCGTGGCGAGACGAGGCGCCCGCAAACGGCCTCACAGACCGCAAAGCTTGACGGTACTTCCGAAATAGCGCAGTCTGATTCCTCGTCGCCATCTCTGCTCCTCCAAAAACTACACCAATGCCCGGTCCGTCGTCCTCCACCTACATAATCCACCACACTCCTCCTCCTCCTCCACAACCCCTACCCTGAAAATCTCCCACCCAACCCTAGTACTCTAACTCGTCTCCTCCACCTGCCAACCCTCACCCCCGCATCGAAATCCTGATGCAAACCCTGCACGATCCCCTCGAAACTAAATTCCGTCACGGGGTTCACAACAGATCCCTCGTGGTGAGCCGCAGCGTGGCCGCGCTCGCCCACGTCGGGCCGCGTCGTCGCGATTGCGCGCGTGTCTGCACGTGTAAGTGTCGACGTCGAAGATGGCAATTGGAAAGACGCGAGGGAAGAGCGAGAGGAAGACAAATAGGCGAGGAATTGAGCACGCATTGTTCGCGAGATAGAGTGCGAGGAGGAGTGGAAATGAGTGAGAGAGAGAGAGAGAGGGAGAGTGTGAGAGCGGTATGAGTGTGAGATAGTGAGCATTGGATAGTGAGTATTGGTTAGATGCTGCTGTTGAGACGGGGCACCATGGATCGGCACCATGGATCGATCCAAACACTTCCTTCCTCCCTCCCTCCGCTGCTAATAAGAGGAGGAGGGCCATATCTGCTCCTTCTTCACCTCCTTACCAACCCTGCTCTGGCTATGCCTCGCGGTCATAGGTTCCATCCTCCTTTTGCCATGCTACCCCCCCCCCCCTTTCCCTGTTTCTCATGACTCTGCTTCTTCTTCTTCTTGTTGCCTTGCGCTGCAATGCATTGCAGCTACTCCATTGTTGGTAGAATTTGATTATATGTGTGGGTGTATAGATATAGTAATAGGGGTGGATTCTACAGGAGCCAGTGGTGAACAGATATAAGGATGCCTTCTCATTTGTGAAATTTTAAATTTGGTTGCATTGGACCGAGTGACGTGTAATGTTTACAAGCAATGTTTCTGATATAGGAATGTTGTAGTGGAAATTTTGAACACTGTTTTGTGCTCTGCGGCAGAGTTTATTTTTTAAAAAAATCTGCAAATCATTTAATATCTTGATTTCATCACTTAAGTATATTTTCTAAGCTACATAAGAAAAAAGAAAAAAGAAAAAAGACTCATGAGTATTGTATGCATTGGATGAGTCCATAATTATATTTAGAGACAATACGATTAAACAGTAAACATTGAAAATTAGTAAAAATAAAATTCTAATTTAAAAAAAATTTATGGGGTTAGAATGCTATAAATAATTCTAAAATCTAACTGATTTTTAGTGATGCATATCAAAACAAGGTTTATCAATTTGTTCTAGTGTTGGTTGAATGAAAATATTTTAAAAATAAGTTGTTTACAATGCCGACAGTGAATACTTTGAACGAATTTATTAATAAAACGATTGTATTTAAAAGATTAATTATTTGGGAAGTATTGAAAAAAAAATTGGTTCAGAAGAATCACGCTACATGATAATAATAACTCCTTAGCTATATCTATCGATATATATATATATATATATATATATATATATTCACATGGATCAAAATCTACATAATTGACACAATTTGTTTACGATATTTAAATAACACATATACATATATGTATTTTATACATACACGTCCACCGCATCAGGAACCAGGAGAGCAGTGCAGCATTTCGGACACTTCGGACTCATCTGGGATCACAGGATTTCGGAGGCCAAGATTCTTGTGGAGTTGTGTCGCTCAAGGGAATTGAAACGTGCAACGAGGACGTGAAACCCGTCGCCGATCACACGAGTCCACAGAGGGTGTGATAGTCCAGCAGTGGTTGTGAAACCGTAGACCCTCCTCCAAAATAGGCAAGCAATCCCAGCAGCTGGTAGTGGCGTTGGCGGCAGCGGTGGTGCTTGGTGCGGTCATGGGGACGCAAGTGGACGCTCAAAGCATTCCTGCGCCGGCTCCCTCCATACGAGGCCACGGCCCATCTCAAGCTCCAGCTGCTGTAGACGAGCTTGGCACCCAGCAACACCCCCGAGTCCGCTCCGCAGGGGTCGCCCATGTCTGATCCAGTGGTGGCTTCTCCGGCATACGCTCCCAGCTCAGGCTTCCAAGGCCCATCCCTAGCTTCTGTACCGGGACCCATGTCGGGAGAAGGTTTTTGACTTCACTCATGTGGCTCTCCTAACTGAGCTCGTGAATCATTTTTGTAGCGACATATTCTTGGGAACACTCGCAGTTCCAGTAGTGGTAGATGTAGATGTAGGTGAAGTGAAGCGTTGTGGGTTGTCACGTCGAAGTGAAGCATTGGTTGGCTCCACAGCGGATCATGTATACATTGTCATTCATTGTGAAGAAGAATGAATCAACATCTGAAACGAGTTCTGCTTGCATGGACCGACCGTGGTGGTCGTGGAAAGGCGGCATCATCCTGGCATTACCCCCTCCTTAATGTTTGGCAAGCCCCAGAGCATGGGGCTTTGAGTCTGATAGAGGCACACGAAGTACAGCTTTCCTCCACAGAAGAGCATGTACATCATTCAGAACAAGGAGCTTTAGACAGGGAAATACGAGACTAGGTATCATCTCATAGACTGTATGTGTGAAAATCATTAGCTAATGTTAACAAAGTTGCTATTTTATTTTGATAATTTTTCTTTCTTTTTTGCTTTTGTACATGAAAAAGGATGATCGAAATTGGTTTTTTGTTTGGCTTCATAGAAGTAGGGGAATCATGCTAAGCTCTACCACAACGTTTGTTTGATCAATGTAGATTTTTGAATTATAGAACTAGGTGGATAGTACTGTTCACATTACACAACTGTATATTTTTTTTGAAGTGATTTTGTTTTTCTGTTTGTAAGAAAATGTAAAAATGCAATGATTTTTCCAAAAAAAGAATCAAATATTCTTATTAATAAAGACAAAATGTTATAAATAGAAATTGAATTATTCAAGTTATTATTTGATCTTTTTTTAATAGTTATATAGTTATATTATATTATAGTTATTTTATACAATATAATATAATATAACTATATAATATACAATATACAATCACATATATACAATATAATTCATACAAATAAAAATAAGTTAAATCTTTGAGATAGCCAAAAATAAAAAAGTTACTACTAATACCAAAAATATTAGAAAGTCTTAAAGCAAGATGGATATCTAAAAGAGGCATTGACAAGATTATGGATAAGCTTAGAATTACTTTTATATATATTATTTATTTATTTATTTAATCATTTTTAAAGAATTTATAATTATCTTTAAATAAAATATTTAAAGTCACATAAAATTTAAAAACGTAAATTCATTGATTATTAATTTATAATATTTTTAAAGCTAAATTTATTAACTATTAATTATAAATTAAAAAATAAACACATAAATATTTAAATTATATCTACTTATATATAATACTTAATCAATTTAATTTTTTTATATATATTTTTTGGATTTTTAAGATTTAAAATAAATGCCTAAGTGTCAAGGACAAATATTTGATGAAGGCAAATAAACAAGTGAGAATTTTTTCAAGAAAGATGATAAAATAGAAATAAGAAAGTATGCATATTGAAAAGAAACTAGAATGGCTATTGTCAAAAGACAAGAAAACTAGAGATCCTTAAAATTAGACTAGAAGCAAAAAAAAAAAAAAAAAATTGATAAGAATAAAAGAAAAATGCTTAATTCTTGCTTCTATATATATTATCTACCTAATAGCTATATGGCGACATTCTATAGGACCTCCAACATATGTTTAATTTGCAAGACACATGTCTTAATTTATAAGGTAAGTTTCTTATATGCGTGTCATATTGTTAGCTTGATAACAAGCTACTAATACATGCAATATATGAATAACTTATTGATTAAGTTTTTAACTTATCGATCACAAATAGACATACATAAAAATGAAACCACATATATAAAGCTTCTAAGAAGCTTTTTTAGAAGTTATTATGAAATTAATCTATTTTTATCTATTTCTACTTATTCATATTATGTAGATAACTATTAAAATAAATATGTATGTCCATAACTTAATCCTCCCTTTTAGAGACAAGTTCTACAAAGAACAGTGATTACATATTAATGAAGTTTAAGATGGGATGCATTATATTTGTCACATATTTTGATTGTTGTTTCCTTTGAAAGTAGTTGATAGGTCCTGTTAGCCATCAATAATATCTTATTTTAGGACAAAAAACTACTTTGTTATTTCATCATTATTGAGGCCTTCATAACTTCTTTTGAATAAAATATTTGTTACACTATCAAAAGTCATTCCTACCTCTAATAAAAAGACCAAACATTAGAAGTCTCTTTGAAGATTGCGATATCAAATGCATTATATCTTCCTATCTATTTGAGAAAGAATTATTTTTGAGGGTTTTCATCTCGATTATATTGTCTTGAAGATTGTAATAATCACAATATCTTATTCAATAAGTCAGCAAATGATAGTTCTTCAGTTGAATCTACCAGTTGTAGATTTTCTATCTTGTTACCATTACAAAATACAAAGAACTTACAATAAATGATAGAAGATAAAATATAATTTCTATTGAACATCTTTTATTTTATAATAAGAAATTGGTTGATTTTTAATCTTGGTTTTGATAGATATTATTGATAATTTTTTTAATCTTCTCTATTACATATGGAAGATTTTTTGTTGGCTCTTATATATGTTTATTAATATAATATTTGTGCCAATAAACAAGATATTTTAACCTATTTTGGTACCACCTTAAGTCTAAAACTTCTTCAACCTTGAAGTCTTGATTACTATCTATTTATATAGGAGGAGGTGGTATTTATCTTCTTATAGAAATATTCATTGTCTTATATGGATCAAAAAGAGATATATAAAATATAAGATGAATCTTCATAGAATCTAATAGATATAATTGATAAGCAATTAGATTGACTTGTTCACTTATAGAAAATGATTTAAATCTACTGTAATCTAATTTATTATAAAGATAAGTAGTCTTGATATTATAATGAAGTAATCATATTTTACTGCTAATGTATAATTAAGGTTGTTTTTTGTAA